TGATTTTTGCTTTAAGTTTTTTCACATTAACTTTTTTTTTTTTTCTTTTTGTTATTGGGGATTGAACCCAGGGGCACTTTACCACTGAGCCCAGTCCTTTTATTTTTTATTTTGAAAGAGGTCTCACTAAGTTGCTGAAGTCCTGTCTCACACTTCTGAGTCCCTGGTATTTCAGGCATGTGCCCCCACATCCAGCTTACATTAACATTTTCAAGAGCCTTGGCTATTTCCCTAAATTTTTTTAAGAAATGGGTATGTCGGGGCTGGGATTGTGGCTCAGCGGTAAAGCGCTCGCCTAGCACAGGCGGGACCCAGGTTCAATCCTCCCCACCACATAAAAATAAAGGCATAGTGTTGTGTCCATCTACACCTAAAAAATAAATAAATAAACATTTAAAAAAGAGAGAGAGAGAGAGAATGGGTATGTCTTTGCACACCAGAACAAAATATTGGTGGGGATTCTTTGAAATGAATACTATAGTTTCTTGATAGTAGTACCATTCTAGAAATCATTTATATACAAATATATATCACAAATATATAAATACAATTAATTGTTTTCCTTTTAAGTAGCCATATATTAGTTTGCTCTTCAAGAATGATCCTCTTTTTTTATGAATTCAAAGATCAAATGCAAACTTTTGTTTGCTGTTGGATCATAATAAATATTGTTGAATGAGAATTAGAATTTGTCTTGTAAAAGTTTTATTGTGGAATTTGAGTTGTAAAACTAAACAGAATTTAATCTTAACCTGTAAGAGTTTCATTGGTATTAGTATTTAAATGTTTTTAATATTTTATTCGTATTGTTGTTTTTGTCTAGTTGTTGAGTAGGTGACTCTTTATATTAAAGTTTTGCAAAGTATGTGTCAAGTTAAGAACCATAGATGCAGTATAGTTTTGAAAAATCTCTTTAGTGATATTAGGTTCTTTCTGTCAACATTGAAATGCAGGTCTCTATTTTAGATCTTTACGTTTTCAAGGGAATTATTAGGGTCATTATTAGATACTTAAGATTTTAATGGTTTTCTGGAGATTGATCCACTGACTGTCATTGTTGACTTTGTAATTAATTCAAAGATCATAATGGTTACTTTGTTATTAACTATGAATTAAATATACATATTGTTTTCTTCTATGTAAATAATTTCATTTTTCTTATTGCCACATTGAAAAATATTATGTATTGCCATTGCCTCTTTTTTTTAACTTCCGGACATCTGATTTTTATATTGTTAGAGGTTTCAAATGGTCTCCTATTTCTCAAATCTAATGGCTCTTTTGTTTGTTTACAGTTTGATTTTGTGGTATGAGTGATAGTATCATTCATGAAATGTTGTCCCCTGGAGTGATATTTAATTACCTGGTTCTTCTGACTATTCTTTATCTGAGACTGTAGCCAACTCCCTTCCATGACCCAGCTTTGTTCCTCTCCAAAATGTAGCTCTTTCTTAAGGTTGCATCTTTAGCTTACTGTTTTCTTACCAGTCTGTTTTGGAGAGGTTGATTTATTGGATTCACCTGTCACTTCTATGGATGACACCTGAGAGCTGTCTCTAGTTCAGTCTCATTCTTGCACTCTAAACCTCCTAAGTCTCCTAAGTGAGCTTTCTGGTATGTGCATCATGTCATTCCAGATCATTCAACCCCAAGCAAGTGGCATCTCCTACAGGTGTTCTTTGTTTTGTCGAAATCATTTTTTTTTTCTTTTTTCACTTGTTGCTAGAGTTTGCTTTCCTAAGTTGATTACATGGCCTGTTGACTCATTTTTCCTGGTTTAATTTACCATCCTACCTGCAGTGGTAAGTGTAATCTTCTAAAAGCATAACTCTGATTTTGTCAGTCCTCTGTTGGGTACTTGCATATTCCCTACTGTCAACTGAATTAAAATGCCAACTTAATAACCTGGCATTCATTATTTTCCAGTGTATGTAATTTTCTGTGTTGGTATATATGTATAAATGGTAAAGATATGTGACTAGGTGTGAGTAGAGCTATTATTGAAGGATTCTGTTTATTTTAGTTTCCCTTCTGAGGGTGAGCTACTCGTGATCCATTATGAGCATAATAATAATTATTATAGTAGTTTATAATGGTGCATAGAGGGATTCAGATGGCCCTGATAAGGTACTGAGAAATGGGTAGGGTAGAGTTGGATAAAGTAGAGAGAGAATGGTAAGTACTTGGGATCTTAAACTTTTTTAGTCTGATTAATGTAACATAGCACTTCTTTTCTTTACTCATGCTACTTTGGGTGATGGGGAGAGATACTTTCATAACATTATTTCCTTCATTTCTTATGGTTTTGGGACAGAAAACTTACACTTGGGCAGGAGGAGAGGGAAGAAGGATTTCTTACCTGTTGCCTCTAGTGAAGGGGATCTAAGAATGAGCAATAGTTGGGTTTAGTGAATAGGTCAAAATTAAAGGTGGATACTTAATATTTACTGCCCCCCCTAGGCTAGCCATGAGAGTACCTGCCTGTTTTAAAGAGACATCTTAAAATATTTCTGTAGTCGATTTCCAAAATTTTCATCTGTCAAATATGGAGAAGTGCTATGGAACCCTTTCTGCCAAGATTATGAGAACCAGCTTCCTGGTCTGGACTACCCCAGCCCTGCCCTTTGTGGTGATGTTCTTTCAGCGTAGGAGATATTTTTAATTTCTTTTTCTTCCTCATCCTTTTCGTAATTCTGTGTTTGCTATTTCCTTAACCAGAACTCCTCCTTTGCATTTTATTCTCCTCTCACAGGCTGAAATCCTGCTATTTTGTTCCACTAGTGCAACCAACTCCATAAAAACCTTTCCTACTTTTCCTTCTCATAACTGGCTTTGATCTCTTCCTCATTTGAACCTCTTTGTGCTTTGCTGCACTTTTGTGACATTTAACACAATCTACCTTGTGTTCGAGATGTGCTGTCTCTATAAAACTGTGAACTTCTTGAGTGCAAGTACATGGGAGCATATGTTGAAAACATCCTGCTTAAATATTGGTTAAACAAAGTTCTAGTCTTTTTGTTTTCTGCTGATATCTCTTAATGTCTTACATCAAATGCTATTATTTGGAACCTTATTCTTATTTCTCTCACACCTCTTCCCTCTTCTCACTTCCTTGTCTTTATTCAAGTTATTTCAGGTTTTTTTTTTTTCATCTTGTCATTCATGTAGGGAAAGCTGAGCTGCACAAAAATATATGAACTGAAATATATTAAAAACTTAAGTTGTCTTATAAATGACAAATATTTTCATGTAGCTACATAATTTTAGCATTAAAAGTAACTGTCTAATTTTGTACTTCTTACCCTTTCTTAAAGAGTTGAGTGTGAGGTATCTCAGATTCCTTTAAAAAGGTTGTGAAAATCACAGCTAAATCCCTAGAAAAATGCACATATACCCACATATGTTTTTGCATAATCACACTTCTTTATTTTACAGATAGAGACTAAGTGATGTTCCTGGGATCATGTGGTAAATCTGCATTTGATAAGTGGTTGTTTATTTAGTAGAGGGTGATATGCTGTACTTATATTTCCAGAATATATGAAGAAAAGGAAAGGAGAAATATGTGGGATAAGAAGGATTAGGAAAGTTTTGTTTTGTCTTATAAAGAAATATATAATTCATAATTATTTTTATGAAATTAACAAAGTAAGGAAAATAACTAAAATCATCCAGATCCCACCAGCATAATTGATTATGACTATAAACATTTTCGAGTTCATTGCCCTGAGCTTTTTCATTACATATTTAAATATTTTTATTGTTTAGTTTCATATTTTTAACAAACACACGGGATTATGCTTTGGTTTTTTTTTGGTTTTTTTTTTAAGCTGGAGATGGACAGAATACCTTTATTTATTTACTTATTTTATTGGTGCCAAGGATCGAACCCAGCACCTCACACATGCTAGGCAAGCGCTCTGCTGCTGAACGACAGCCCCAGCCCTGGGATTATGTTTAATGTGCTATTTTGTTTTATCTTTGCAGAAATTTAAAATGTAGAACAGTGCCAAAAATTCATTTCCCACTCTATAGAATTAACACCCTATTAGTATCAGCATATTTACTCCAATTTTCTTCAAGAAAATTAGTTGAGGAAAAAGTGGTACAATTTCATTACAAACAATTAAAGGACTATACAGAATCATAAAGATAAAAGTAAAGAAATTGCTTCTATCAGAGGTTGATGGCCAGCATCTCACTGGGGGGTTCTTTCTGCCCTGGGGAATCTAAGTCACCCTAATACTTAAAATCTCAAGTAATTAGTGACTAACAAAATACAAATACTCAGAAATATATTTACAATAGGTGAATAGATCGAGTCCACATGGGTTCTAGAACTAGACAAAGAAAAGATGGCTCCCGTGGTTTATTTAAGGGGGTATTTCAAAGGCAGAGATAAGGTTTCAAGGGTGGAATCTTGCTTCTTGATGTCTTACAGTCAGAGGTTAATTGACATCTTGGCTGGTCACACCTACCTCAAGTGCTGTGTGGCCACGGCAGAGCATGATAGAGATTCACATTGTCCCTGGGCAGTTGACCAGAGAAAATGTCTACTGGTCATTCCCAGACATCAGATGTCTCTGTCCACTATGCTTCCATGTGCAGTGACCCACATGCAACCCATGGGTGGTTCCTGACACGCCTCGTATTATTCCATCCAGGAATAACTAATGTAGGAAAAACATTGTTTAGGCAGGTGTGTGTGTGTGTGTGTGTATAAATAGGCAGATAAATTGATAGAAATATCTTTTAAGTGAGATCATAGTACTGGTTGCTTTTTAAAAAGGTGTTTACTTTTACTTGAATTTACTTACAGTAGACTTCAAGTAAATCTTTACCATATAAGCATATTTTATAAAGATTGTTTTGATTAAAAATATTAAGAAGTTGAAGTTACTATCTTCTTTATAAAATATATTTGATTGTAGATCTTACCTGTTGACTTCCTAATTTGAAAGATGAGGTCATAATCATTTTGACTCTTCTATATCTTCCCCTTCTGACTTTTTTACTGAGTTTTATATTTTCAAATGTATTTAGTGTTCACTAACAGTCTTCACTTACTATTTTTGTTAATTTTAGGTTGGCTAGATTTTGTTATATATATATTTTTTAAACAGAGGGCTCTTGTACTTTTTGTTTGTTTATTTTAATTTCTTTTATGTTTGAAACTGTTTGGCTTTTGCCTTTAAACTTAAAACTACATCTTGGCTGGGTTTTATGTTCTTGGGTCACACTTTCTTTTCCTTAGAACTTGATAGACGTTGTCCAGTTGTCTTCTGGCATTGAATGTTGCTGCGGAGAAGTCTGAGGCCAGCCTGATTTTTTTTCCCCTCCTTGTAAGTGATTTGTTTTTTCTGTCTGATTGCCTAAAACTTTCTGTTTTTATCTTCAAAGTTCAGTAGTTTTAATCAGGATTTTTTTTTTTTTTGGTGTGAGTGTTATATATTAAAGTATCCTAGAATTTTTAAAAACTAACTTTATTGAGCTGTAATTTACATACAGTAAAATGATTGTTTTAAGTATACAGTTCATTAATTTTTGGCAATGTATATAAACTTGTGTAAGTATCAACCACTGCAAACATGATGAACAACAGTTCCACTTGGCTTTTTTGATATGCAGATTCAAATCTTTGTTTCAAGGAAATTCTCCTGTGTTTTATCTTTGAATGTAGCTTATATCTCCATTTGTTGATTTTCCTATACAAGGACACCAATTATTCTTATATTGGATTGTCTCTCTTTCCTATTTTTTAGTTTCCTTCTGTCTTTTTCAGGTTACTTGTGTCAAGCCTTTCTCTGTGTTACAAGCTTGATTTTTCAGTGCTGTTAGAATCCTCAAGGCATTTTTGACTCATCCACATGACTTTTTGCGGTAGGGCAGAGTTTGAGCCAAGCAGTGTTGTATCTCTATGTTCTGCAACAGAGTCATCTTTTTTTTCCCTTTTTGATTGAAAATTTTTGTTTACTGCATTATATTCCATTTATTCACATATACACATACAACTACATAAATATGTTTCTGCTTTGGGCTCTTTTTAGAGGGTTTCTGGAACAAGAAATTCAATAAAGACAGTTCAGTTGCCCTTAGTATAAGTCATCTACATCTTTCTTAGGAACATTACTTCATGAAGTGTGTTGAATGGTCTTTTCTTAATACCTTAATTTCTTGGTAGACTTTGAAATGTCTTTCTGCCTCTGTGCCAGTTTTTTTCCCTCCTTACTAATAACATCCTGGTACGTTATCAAGTATTGGGATAGGTGGGGTAAAGTGTGTCAGAATCTTTCATAGGAAAATCAGGAAATGGAAGTAATCAGAGAATTGCTGTATCTTAATGAAAATAATCAGTTTCCTCTCTCCTTCCTGAGAACTCATGTTAGAAATATATGTAACATTTTCCAATCCTTTATAAACAAAGAAAAACTGTTATGTGTTTGTAACTGGAATATGGTAGTAAAGTGTACAAGTGAAATGTAAAATAGTAAACAAATGTTAAGTTTTATCAAACAGCATTTTCAGAATTTTAATTGATTATGTTGAATAAAATGGTAAATGAATCAGGAATTTTGCTTGAATCAAGATTATAACAAATTCAGGACTTTTTTTTAAAGAAATAGGCTGATCATGCCAGGTGTGGTGGCATATACCTATAACCTCAGCCACTCAGGAGACTGAGGCAGGAGGATCACAAGTTTGAAGCCAGCTTCAGCAACTTAATGAGGTCCTAAGTAACTTAGTGAGACCCTTTCTCAAAAAAAAAAAAAAAAAAAAAAATGGTGGGGGCTGTGCAGGCAGTGCAAAAAGGGGACAGGCTGGTGTTTTTATTGGTCCTGTCCCTGAGTTTAATCCCAATTTAAAAAAAAAGAATTTGGTTGGAAAAACTTGATTATGGATAAATGTGTTTAGAAAGGACATTTATAATTTATGTAAAATTTTAGTACAAGGTGGAATTTTAAAGGTAGAATAATCTTAGTATTTTATTTATGAAATGTATTTTCAGTCTGTCAGTTCATTTAACAACTATTTATTCATTACTTAATATAAAGCCAGGCATTGATCAAGGGACAGAGGCTACACCTTACACAAAAGAAAGTCTTCTCATGTAACTACAGTGTTGTAAATAAATAATGAATGTATAAATATATAATTTGAACTACAAAAAGGTGTGTTATCTGAACCATTTTAGAAGAAATAAGCTACGTAAATATAAGAAATATGTAATCATTTTAACACTTAGTCTTTTTACCAGATTATCCAAATCTGAAATAGGTTTTGGGGGGTTTATGTTTGGATTTATATAAAACTATGGCCTTTTTTTTTTTTTTTTGAGACAGGGTCTCATGTTACCCAGACTGACCTTGAATTCTTGGGCTCAAAAGAACCTGCCTTAGCCTCTGAATAACTAGAACTATAGACATGCACTAACATATCTTTTAAAATGTCACCTTTCTAGTACTTTTTTATTTGAGAAATTAATTTTGGAATGATAAGGAGGAGTAGAAATATGTGACTTGTTTTAAATTTGTCTTTGTATACAAATCTTGGGCCAGCCACTTGGCCTCTATAGGCTTTAATTATCTCATTATAAAATTGGTGGTTAGCCTAGTTTCATGCTTTCATTTATTTTATTTTATTTTATTTTTTTTAGTTTTAGATGGACAGCATGCCTTTATTTTATTTGCTTATTTTTGTATGCAGTGGTAAAGATTGAATCCAGTGCCTCACCCATGCTAGATAAGCACTCTGCCACTGAGCCCCAGCCCCAGCCCAAGTTGCATAATTTTTAAGCCATGCTCATATGTGCTGTTCCTTTTCTTCCTTGTAATAGTTCATCTTTGATCAGTTTTATCTACTGTGAATACATGATCTTAGTAAGATTTTATTTGGAAATAGTGTTTTACTTCATTTTTTTGAGATTTTCTTGACTATTAATTTTCTGGAAATCAAATGTTAAGCATTTAAGAAGCATTCTTTATAAAATATATGCATATACTACTATACTAATATGTATAATGGTAAGAACAAATAAAGGTTTAAAAGGATCCTGTGCAAAATACAAATGCTAAGAATTTCTTTTCATATCCCAATAGTTTTGCTTGTGTTCTTGGAACAATAACTCCTGATATGTGGCTATCATTGATGTAGATGAGTTTGACAAATACATGGTATAAATTAGTATTTTCTGTTTACATCTATTTTAGATCAACAGAGGAGAATATTTTTACCACCTCCACCTGGAATTAGAAAATGTGTCATTTCCACCAATATTTCTGCAACATCTTTAACAATAGATGGAATCAGGTACAACTTTTTAAAGTTTTCTTAAAGAAAGCCATAACTGGGCTGGGGATGTGGCTCAAGCGGTAGCACGCTCGCCTAGCATGCGTGCGGCCCGGGTTTGATCCGCAGCACCACATACCAACAAAGATGTTGTGTCTGCCGAGAACTAAGAAAAAATAAATAAATGTTAAAATTCTCTCTCTCTCTCTCTGTCCCCCTCTCTCTCTCACTCTCTCTTTAAAAAAAAAAAAAAAAAAAAAGAAAGAAAGCCATAACTAATCACAAAGCATTACTGTGTTTTCTTCCCTGTTTTCTCCACTAATTCCCTTCTTACGTATTTTCTAATGCTCTTCACTTGTATTCACCTTTTGTTTTTGGGATTATTGATTGTTTTGAACAGGAAATGAAGTAAGAGGTGCATACTGTATCTTTTTCTAAAAACTGGGCAACTTTGAAGCTTTCTCTCCCCAAATTTAAGATTATCTGGGGTTCATGGGTTCTGGCTCACCCTATTTTTCTGCATTGTCATTACTAGCATATATCTTAGATGATGTGATATTCCCTCTACCTTTCAGCTTCTCTTGGTAGAGTAACTTTGTTCATCTAAGGTTTAACTGGAGGTATTGTCTCTCATTTGTTACTTTCTTGTGAAATTGAACTACTATGCAGGTTTCTTGTTGTTTTTGGATGTAATCAATAATGCCTCAAATTTTTTAGTGTAGTTAGCAGAGGTTTAAAGGCTGGACTGATAGCTGATGTTCAATTCTTTCAGACTATTGAACCATATTTCTTTTGGGTATTCATATTTTAGCTAAGTCTGACTGCCACAGGAAGGTTGGCCTAGAATCCCAAGGATCCTATATATTTCTTCTGGATAAAATGATCACCCAGATTTGAGAAGGAAGTCTAATTTCCTTTGCTTTTCTCCTTCACTTTATTTTATTTTATTTTTTCTCTCTTTTTTCTCTCTCTTTTTTTTCTCCTTCACTTTAAATTTTTTTTTTCATTAAGGAGTTAGGGGAACAGATCTCTATATATTGACCTCTATAATTTTCTGTTTCCAGCACAGGCAAAAGCCATTAAATGGCATATTTTAGAATGTTGCCTTATTGAATGATAGACTTACTACTGTACTTAGTTCTTTACCCGAATTGTTCTCTATTAAATGGGCTTAAAAATTTATTTGGGATTTTGAACCTGCTAGAATTGCCTAGGGCTGACTTTGAAGTTTATATAATTTTATTGAGGCAAATTAAATTAATTTAAAAGTGAACAGTTAAGTGGTATTTAGTATATTTCCAGTATTGTGTAACCACTACCTCTGTCTGGTTTCAAAAAATTTTATTACCCCCCCAAATAAAACTCCATATGCATTAAGCAGGTATTTCATATTCCTTTTGCTACCCCAGCCCCTAGCAACCACCAGTCTACTTTTTGTTTTTATTTCCTGTTCTGAATTTTTCATACAAATGGAATTATACCTTTTATTTCTGGTTTCTTTAACTTAGCATAGTGTTTTGGAGCTTCATCCATATTGTAACATGTATCACTATTTCCTTTCTTTTGATGATCAAATGATGTTTAATTGTGTATATGCCCCAATTTCTTTATTCATTCATCTTTTAGTCATTAGGTGGTTTTTACCTTTTGACTATCGTTAATAGTGCTGGTATTGAATATTCACCTATAAATATTTCAGTACTTGTTTCAGTTCTTTTGGGTGTATTCTTAGGAATAGAATTGCTGGGTCACATATAATCCTGTTTAACTTTTTGAAGAACCGCCAAACCGTTTTTCACATTGGCAGGATCATTTACATTCCTACCAGCAGTATATGAGAGTTCCAATTTCTTGACTTTAGTTTTATAACTTAACATTAAAAGTAGTGTGTAGTAGTAAATTTGTAAAAAAGAAGAAAACAAAGTGGTTAAAAATGACAGGTCGTCCTGACTTTCCAGAAACTTGATTTGCTTTCATTCTCCTCAGATATGTGGTTGATGGTGGCTTTGTGAAGCAGTTAAATCACAACCCCAGATTAGGGTTGGACATCCTGGAGGTGGTTCCAATTTCAAAGTAAGTACAAAGTGATATCCTTTTTGTTTCCATAATAGTTGATAATATAATTTCTAGTTGGTTGGGGATAAGGAAGTAAATGATGTGGGAAACCCACAAAAGATTGGGGACTTTCTTTTTTTTTTTTTTTCCATTTGTAGGAGTGAGGCATTACAGCGAAGCGGCCGAGCTGGCAGGACTTCCTCAGGAAAATGCTTTCGGATCTATAGTAAAGATTTTTGGAACCAGTGTATGCCTGACCATGTGATCCCTGAGATTAAGAGAACTAGTTTGACATCTGTAGTTCTGACCTTAAAGTGCCTTGCCATACATGATGTCATAAGGTATGTAGGCATCTTGCAAAAAAGAGAAATTTGTTAGGGTGAAGCCAGGTTATTCCTCAATTATTGTTTTTCAGTATTTGACATCCCTGAGAATTGAAGGTTAGCTATTTGCAAGATTGGTTTTCACATTGGTTGTTTTTTAGCTAAACCCAAAAGTGTTAATTCATTTAACATTAAATTCACTATTTTAACCATTTTAAAGTGTACAGTTTAACTTGGTTTTAGTAGATTCACAATATTTTGAAACCATTGACACTAGTGGTGAATATTCTTATCACCTTAAAAACTATTGACATATAAGGTTATATGAACCCAGAAGTAAATGGTGTTAATACTACTACTTAGCTTCAAAATTTGTGAAATTTTAATATTTCTGATTTAAGCTATAGTAGATGCTTGTGTTGCTTTATTGGAATATGTGTGCTTGCTCATGTTTTAACCTTAATAGGGAATTTTTGTGCTGATGTTTATTTAGTTCATTTAGTGACTACCACTGTTCATTTGTGGTGAAAGGCATGTAATGTCTCTAATTCTAGTCATAAAGGTTTTTTTGTGGTGGTTGTGTTTGTTTGTTTTTTTCTGAGGATTGACCCAGTGGCACTTTACTACTGAGCTATATCCCCAGCCTTTTTGTGTGTGTGCGTGGTTCTGGGGATTGAATCCAGGGCTTTGTTGTGAGGCAAGAACTCTACCAACTGAGCTATATCCCCAGCCCTTTTTAATTTTTATTTGAGACAGGTTCTCACTTAGTTGCTGGGGCTGGCCTTGAACTTGTGCTCCTACTCCAGCCTCTTGTGTTACTGGGATTGCAGGTGTAAGCCACTGCACTGGCCAGAAAATGTTTTTTGTAGCTTCTTCATTGTATTATATATCACAAAAGACAAAGTAATAATACTCTAGTATGGTTTTTTGTTTACACTAACTTTATGTTGGGCAAACAAAGTTCAGACATGTGAAGTAAAGGATACAACAACTGTCAAATTAGTCAAATGTTTAGCTATGTGATATATTAGAATAGGATAGAATATTGTAGAGGCTTGATATTTCATATGATAGAGGAAATAATGAAGGAAAATTGTATCTTGTTCTTCGTTTTATTCTCAATTATCTGAGAATGGAAGTGTCAGGAACCTTGAGAGAAGATGACCATACATTCTTTAAATTTATAATAAGGAGAGTGATTACTAGTGCATCCAACTGTGTATTGTATACATTTAGGAAGCCATCTTAAAAATATTTCAGTTATAAGACTAGAAATTTTCTAAATGAGAATGTAATTCCTAGAAAGAGGAAACCATGTAATAAATAAAATTTAACTAATCAAATAATACCAATGAGAAAGAAGGAAAGAATCATGAAGAAATCCAAATGATCCAATCAAAAGCTTTTAGGTGAGGCCAGATTTAAAAATAATGTCTTGATTTTTTTTTTTTTTTTAATTTAGGAAGAAGGGCAGATTCTGGATACAGCAGTCTATTTAGCTTGACATTGATTTTTAGCATATTCACAAAGGATAGCAGAGCAGCATATAACAAATAATACTACGTAAGAAAAATAGGAATTAAATAATTAGGATTAATCAATTTGGGGGTGTGGGGAGGTACTGAGGACTGAACTCAGGGGCACGTGGCAACTGAGCCACATCCCCAGCCCTATTTTGTATTTTATTTAGAGACAGAGTTTCACTTGCTTAGCACCTCGCTTTTGCTGAGTCTAGCTTTGAACTTGCAATCCTTCTGCCTCAGCTTCCCAAGCCACTGGGATTACAGGTGTGCGCCACTGCACCTGGCTAGGATTAATCAATTTTAATTACTTAATATCATCTGCACTGAGTTATTTTTCCACTTGTCTTAAAAACTGGATTCTTCTATACTATAGTATATTTTTATACTAATAAGAAATGTTAGAGGTGAAAATAAAAGACTTTCCTCCTCTCTCTTTTTGTTTCTTGTTTCCTTTTCTTTCTTTCTTTCTTTTTTTTTTTTTTTTTTTTTTGAGACAAGATCTTGTTACCTGCAGGCTGTGATTGAATTCCTGCCTTAGTCTTCTGAGTACTTGGGATTAAGGTGTGTGCCACTGCACCCAGCTTCCACTTTATAAAACTTCAGTTAAAAAAATATATATATATGGACTACAGAAGAGAATAGACTTGCTATTGGTTATGAAGAATGAGGCAGGATTGAGATGTAGAGAGGATGATGTGAGTGTTCCAGCCAAAGGGGATCAAAGGGAAGTACATTGTGAATGAGAAGAATGTGATTCAGAAAAAATTATTTCCTCTTTTGCTGAATGCTGACCATGGTTATAGATTTTTTTTTTTAAATGAAAGGAATATTTGAAAAATAGAAGTAAAACCTTTCCATCAAGTCTGTATAAATCCTACCATATTCAGGGAATGGTCTCCCATTTCATATCTCATTTAAACATACAGGTTTCCCTATTTGGATCCGCCTAATGAGAGACTCATTTTGGAAGCTCTTAAGCAACTTTACCAGTGTGATGCTATTGACAGGTAACAAAACAAACAAACAAAAAAGTTAAAAGAACAGGTGTTGAGCCTTTTAAAAAAGGTTCTAGATATCTTTATCAGTAGGAAATTGTTTCATTCGAATAGATTCTTTTACTTGAAATCAGAATTTGTCCTCAATTTTTCTTTATTGCAGTTCTTTTTTTAAATATATTTTTTTTAGTTGTGAAAGAACCTTTATTTTACTTATTGCTATGCGGTGCTGAGAATCTAACCCAGTGCCTCACACATGCTAGGCACGTGGTCTACCACTGAGCCACAACCCCAGCCCCTCTTTATTGTAATTCTGATTGAAACACTGTGGTATAAAGTAGTTTTATTTAATATTGTTACTATTTAATAAGTAATTTCTGAGTTTCATTTCAGTGCTAAATATTATGAGTTCATGAAAATAATAAGAAAGCCAAGTCTTTGTTCTCATGATTGTGTACTAGAGGAAGGTTTGATAATTATCACTCTCAGTTTTTCAAGGATATTCTCTGTGTGTATTTGTATCTATTATACTACTGTCTTCTGCCTTGTTGTTTAGTTTTTTTGGGATGTATTAAGACTTTTGACAGCAGAGAATTTATATCTTTTTGTTCTTCTTATCATGACCACAGTGTTTTATTTCCTTGAATTGAACTTCTGGGGGTAATTTAATGTAATCTAAATTATGTCTGATTTATCCTGAATGGTGAACATTGCATTTGTTTTCTCCCAAGGTAGAAAGACCTAATAACATTTTCTTTCTATTAAGGAGTGGCCATGTGACCAGATTGGGTTTGTCTATGGTGGAATTTCCTCTCCCTCCACATCTGACTTGTGCAGTAATCAAGGCTGCTTCTCTAGATTGTGAAGATCTACTGCTTCCAATAGCAGCAATGTTGTCTGTGGAAAATGTCTTCATTAGACCTGGTAAGAAGTGTATTGATAAGTTTTTTAAAAAATTTTAATTAATAGACTTTAATGTGTAGTTTGAAGATTATAGAAAATTGAGCAAAAAGTACACAAGGATAACATTAATCTTGCAAGCTTTCACAGGCACACATCACCTATTATTAGCATCTTTTGTTTGAGTAGTACATTTGTTTTAATTGATAAGCCAATATTGATACATTATTATCATCTAAAGTGATCACTTATTATGTTATATCTTCTGTAGGTTTTGACAGATATATATAACAACATGTATCCACCGTTCAGTATCATGAAGAAACATTTTACTGCCTTAAACATGCTCCACGAATTCGTATCTACCTCCCTTCCCGCAGTCTCCTGGCAGTAACTGCTCTTTTATTTAGTTTTGTTTTAATTTGTTCTCATTAGTTATACGTGCATTGATCTCTTTATTGTCCCTATAATTTTGCCTTTTCCAAAGTGTCATTTATTGAGAATCATATAGCATATAACCTTTACAGGTTGCCTTTTCTCACTTAGTAATATGCATTCAAGATTGTCCATGTCTTTTTGTATCTAGCTAGCTTCATTTTTATCACCAAATATGGAATTCTATTATATGGGGAATGTGTTTATCCATTTACCTATTAAGGGCATTTTTGTTGCTTTTTCATCCTTGGGCTATTATTAATGAAGCTGTAATAAATATGCAGGGGTTTTTGTAGACAGCTTTTCAACTCCTTGTTGAATCATATGGTAGTAGTATGTTTAGATTTGTTTAAAAAACTACCAACTGTGGGGGCTGGGGATGTGGCTGAAGAGGTAGCATGCTCGCCTGGCATGCATGCGGCCCGGGTTCGATCCTCAGCACCACATACAAACAAAGATGTCGTGTCCGCCGAAAACTAAAAAATAAATATTAAAAAATTAAAACAACAACAACAACAAAAAACTACCAACTGGGTGTGGTGGTGCACACCTGAAATCCCAGCAGCTTGGGAGGTTGAGGCAGGAGGATTATGAGTTCAAAGCCGGCCTTAGCAATTTAGTGAGGCCCTAAAGCAACTTAGCAAGACTCTATCTCTAAATAAAATATAAAGAAGGGCTTGGGATGTAACTCAGTATTAAGCTCCTTTGGGTTCAATCCCTGTATCAAAAAAAAAAAAAGGAAATAAAAAAGAAACTACCTGTCTATACCATTTTGCATTCCCACCAACAGTCAGTCTGAGGGTTCCTTTTCCTTCATATCTTTGCCAGTATTTGCTGTTGTTAGTATCTTGGATTTTGGCTATTCTGATAGGTTTGTGATGGTACTTTATTTTTGTTTGAATTTGTAATTCTCTGATGATGTAAGATAATAAGCATCTTTTCATATGCTTATTTGCTTTCTGTATAGCTTCTTTGGTGAGTTATCTGTTTAGCTCTTTTTAAATGGGTTTTTTTTCATATTCATGAGTTTTAAGAGTTCTTTGCATATTTTGAACAACAGTTCTTTATCACATATATCTTTTGTAAATATTTTGTCCCCATTGATGATTTTTCTTTTCATTATCTTGACATTGCTTTTTGGAAAGAGAAATTTTTAATTTTAATGCAGCCCAGTTGACTAGTTATTTCTTTCATGGATCTTGCCTTTGGTATTGTATCTAAAAGGTTATTGCCTTACCCAAGATCATCTAGATATTCTCTTATGTTTTGTTGCAGGAGTGAAATTACCTGTTGTTCTAGCACCATTTGTTCAAAATACTGTCCTTTCTTTATTGAAATGCCTTTGTTCCTTTGCCAAAGTTGACTGTGTTTGTCTAGGTCTTTGGGCTCTGTATTCTGTTCCATTAATCTATTTGTCTTTTCTTCCACCGAGACCACACAGCCTTGATTTTTAGAATTTCAGAGTCTAACTTTTGAAGTTGAGTAGGGTCAACTCTCCAACTCTGTCCTTAACTTTCAACATTGTTCTGGATATCCTGGATCTTTTCCCTTTCCATATAAACTTTAGAACCAGTTTGTTGAAATCCACAAAATAATTTGCTGGCATTGTGTTGAACCTAAAAGATCATTGGGAAGAATTAATATCTTGACAGTATTGAGTTTTCCTATCCATATACATGGAGTATCTTTTCATTCATTTAGGTCTCTAGTATTTCATTGAGCATTGGTTAAAGATTTATCTTATGCCTAGCTCTTAGACAGGAAGCTAATAATTTTTATACTGTTATCCTTTAACTTAGTTGTTTGGCATAGGTTATATACAGTGTTCCTGGCTGAAAGTTAATTTCCTTTCATTGGTACAGGAAGATACAGTGAACCTTTGCCCTTTTTATGGTACATTAGTAATAAAGTTTTCTCTCCCTTTTTAGTTGTTTTTTTTTAAAGAGACAGTGAAAGAGGAGAGAAAGAGAGAGAGAGAATTTTTAATATTTATTTTTTAGTTCTTGGCGGACACAACATCTTTGTTGGTATGTGGTGCTGAGGATCGAACCCGGGCCACACGCATGCCAGGCGAGCGCGCTACCGCTTGAGCCACATCCCCAGCCCCATATTTTTTAGTTGTTGATGAATGTTTATTTTATTTATATGTGGTGCTGAGAATTGAACCCAGTGCCTCACACATGCTAGGCTGAGAACTGAATCCAGTGTCTCACACATGCTGGGCAAGTGTTCTACTGCTGTGCCACAACCCCAGTTCCTCTTTTTTAAAAAAAAAATTTTGTAGTTGTAGATGGACAGCATGCCTTTGTTTATTTTTATGCGGTGCTAAGGATTGAACCTAGTCCCCCACACGTGTTAGGCAAAGCACTTTGCCACTATCTCACTCTGTTTTTAAGAATCAAAAGAATAGGTAGTTCAGTTCTTATGTTCTTAGAATATTGTATTGAAATGTCCATGTCTTTAAACTTTTGTTTTCTTCCTTTCTTGGTGTGTCCAAATGGGATACAACTTAATATGACACATGGTCAATTTTTCATCTCTGGAGTAATTTTTTCCTAAGCAGTTTCTGAGTAGACATTCTACCTTGTGTGTAGCCAACACAATAAAGTGTGCTATTTCACTGGCCTTTTCTCTTTATAGGTTGAGAGTGTTGGATCCAGACTGGCTTATTATTGCCATGATTATAATGGTTTGTCCAACAAATAAAAATCCCCCTCTACTCAGTATGCTGCCCACTACAAACAGATTACAAGTCATATAAGAATTGCAGAATTTTTGGAACAATAAAAATAAGATTAACACAGCCCCTGTGTAAGGATGACACGTAAATTTATGAAGTGTTTCATATTTTCAGCCCCAGGGCTACATTTTTGTTCTGCTGAATGGAATTTGTCCTCACATATTGGTATACTGAATTTCTTACCAAGAGCCTAATTAAATAATTAATGCATTTTACAAAAAGAAAGAATTGCAGAATTTTGATATTAGTAACATACCAATTAAATTTTTTTTTTTTTTTTACTAAAACACTGCATACAATAAATAATGTTGACTGGTTTTTCTTTCATTCAGTAGTATGAAAGCTAAACATACTCTATAAACTACTGCAGAGTATTGAAGTTGGAGTCAGGAGTCCATCGTTCTCTCCAGCTCTACTGCTGTCTAATTATCTGACTATTGACCTAGCTTTTCTGGATTGCACATTTTCATTTGTAAATCCAGAGTTAGATGCAGGACATCCAATGCTGTTAATTTAGGCTGGATAAACAAGATTTTTTTTCCTTGTTGGAAAATTTAAATAGATAAAATTAGCCTGCTGTTAGTTTCTCTCTTTTTTAATCTCAAATGTTGCCCAGGCTGGTCTTAAACTCCAGGGCTTAAGTGGTCCTCCTACCTCATCCTCTTGAGTAGCTGGGATAGTTTCTTTTTTTTTGGTAACATTTTATTGTAATATAATTTCAAATTTGAACAGAAACATTTCAAGAATGGTTATATTTATTTTATACCTTCTGTATAGTTTCAGCAATTTTTAACATTTTGTCCCTTAACTTTGTTATCTTCTGTATGTACATATGTATATATATGCGTGTGTATGTATATATGTGCATTTTTCATTTTTTCTAAATAATTTAAGAATAAATTGTAAACCTTGTGCTCCCTTAATGTAAAATATTACTTGTATATTTAATAAGAACAAGGGTAATCTCTGAGTATAGTACATTTGCCAAAATTAGGAAACTTAAAATTGATACAATACTATTATCTAATCCAGAGTCCATATTCAAACTATTCATTTTCCCTAGAATATACAAAAAGTTTCAGAATTGCTTAGCTATATCACTGTAGAGGCACCTCTGTATAAAACTGGATTTTACATTTATTGTTTACCTTAGAAAAGGTAAAATTTACATATAGTAAAATGCATAAATCTTATATGAATAATTCAGTGAATTTTGTGAAATGGATGCTGCACCTTTATAATCCATACCTCTGTCAAGATATAGAACATTTATATCACTCCAGAAAGTTCCATTGATGTTACTTTGCAGTCATATTTCACCCCATCTCTCCCAGTCAGCTTCTTTTCAGGTTAGTTTCGCTGCCTCTGAAACTTCATAAATAGATTATATTTGAATTGTTTCTTGCTTGTAGCTATTTATGGGTAAAGCTGTTTTGAACATTCTTGGAGTCTTCTGTAGAGATATTTTTATTTCTCTTAGGTAAAGTAAATACTTTGGAAACAAATTGCTCTGCTATTGAATAGATATATGTTTAAGATATTGCTACGCCTTTCCCCAAAGTAGTTACACCATTTTAAATATGACCAGCAGTGTTTGAGTGTACAGTTTGCACTACATTATCTTCCTCAACATTTGTTATTGTCAGTCATTTTCATTTTATGCATTCTATATTTCTTTGTGGTATTTACTTACATTTTCTGAGGACTAATGATGTTGAGCACTTTTTCATGTGTTAATTGGCCATTTTTGTGTCTGTGTTTGTGAAGTGTCGAAATATTTTGCCATGATTTACACTCTTGCCCTTTTTTTCTTTTTCTTCCTTTTCTTTTCTTTTTTTTTTTTTTTTTG